AATTATTAAAGAAATAGACAACATTTTCCATGTTTCTATGGCATTTCAGAAACTAGACTGAAAGTTCTGGAGAACACAAAATGCATGACAATTGCCTTTCCCCTCCAGAAAAGGGACAAAAGGTAAATCTTCACGATAAAATGATTTCCATGGTCAAACTACTCATAGCAAAGTTACACTATAGCAAAATTAATAACTACCTGAAGACCGCAGCATCCAACTGCATTCATAATGGAAGCATTATGAATGACTTGGTAAGGAATGTTCATTTGACATGCTCGCAACACGAGGTCTGCGTGAGTAGTAGCCCTAAAAATTAATATTTAATAATTATTGGATGAGTTTGAGCAACATATCGTCACTTGTCAGTGGAGAGCAGGTCAGTTATTTGCCAAAGCCGAAGGCTGAGGAAAATAATTGATCTGCGAGACCTGACAAACAATGATATTTTGCAATAACCGAGTTCAATAATTATTTTATCATTCGATCACCACATTTGTTTTCTTGTTTAATCACTCTCTGACAGCTCAGGGGAGCAATCTGCCATTTTTCACTACAGATCATGGTTACAGTTATGCATGAGCACAATACTGTTTGAAGCAAAACACATTAAGACAGCACTACACATGAGCAGACCATTATTTGTAGGCAGTTATGTGCAGGTCATATGGTTGGCTCTCGGCCAGTGGAAAGGAAGAAAAAAAATGCATTGAATGATAATAATTATAATAATTATTATTTTAAACTTGTCATATTTTATCATTGATGGAACTCTCTTTCAGCAAGGTGAATCAGATTAGATCTGTACTTTCCATATTAATGATAGACTACAGTCTGTGACATTCAAAAGGCTTGCCAAGTACAATGATCACATTTTTTTTGCTTGTATGCTGTGTTGGCATGGTGCAAAGCCACACAATTCAAAACACATGATTCACTGTCCCGTTCAACTACTCCAAACATTCTTCACTATGACTGCAAAATACAGTATATCCCATTCCCTACTGTGGTTATTTATCCCATATCCTGCCCTCAACATGTCAAGTATCGGTCAAGTCCCACCTTAATTTTAATTCCCATCTTACATTCCACAAAAACTAAACTGGATGCTCTATAGTATGAACTGGGCTCTAATATATTGCCTCAAAACAATATTATGATGATGATTCTAAACCTTATGGTCTGAAACACTAGGAAATATTCAGTGATTGTACTTCATCTACAGTTCAGAGACTGTGATAGTAATGACAGTTTCTCAAGTTTATTACTCGGTTGTCATATTTCTATAAACAAATGTTGCTCCTTTCTCACCCAAATGGATCTCCAACAACCAAGAAAGCCACATCTTTGTCCTTAGCATGCTCCAAAAGAAGATCTATGGACAGAAAAAAGTTAGCTTTAGCTCTGTGATATTGCTCAAACTAATCTGTATATCAATCAATCAATCAATCAATCAATCAATCAAGTCAAGCCGAGGAGAAGCGAGCAGTACGCAAGGAAAGAGCTGCCAGCACTAACAGCACAGCCCCTACCCACTTGTGCCCTACCTGTGGGAGAGGCTTCCTTGCCCGGATTGGTCTCATCAGCCACCTCCAGACACACCGTAGAAATTTATTAACAAACTAGATGTCTTTGGTCATCTTCGACTACGAAGGACGAACAACAACATTGTCAAAGGATAAACTACCCACCAGAATTTTGTTCCACAGTTTCCCTATCAGCTAACTCGATTTTGCATCCATAAAATTCTTCCTGAAATATATTTTAAAGATAAATAGGGACTGATCAATATATTATCAGTAAGTTTCTAGAAAGCTTTTCGAGGAAATTCAAATTAAAGAAGCACTGTTAGTGATGAAATTATCGTATTACTTTAATTTAAAGTCACAGCTTGCCTGAAGAGAAAGACCGAAAATTACTTCTCTTTGCACCCTGATTGCCCTGTTTACATCTTCCTCTCTTTCCCCCATTCTTATTTGATATGTAGGAGTACTTTGAGTACCTACCAACACTTCCTTTCCCACACAAAGGATGGAGGTATATGCTTCCAGAAAGACGTAGTCTGCCTTTTTAACGATTTCTAGTCCCTTAACCGTGATATCCTTGGCATCTCCTAAACCAAGACCAACAAGATACAACATTTCTCTCGCTTGTTACCACGCCAGTTCTCGAGGACCGACCGCCATGTTGGATTCGAAAGCAGAGAAGAGCCTGGGACTCAGATTGTTACGGTAGTTTGTAGCCAGCGGTATTACGTTCAAAAGCGAAAGGACTGGGTTTAGTTGTTTCTCCTCGTGTTGTGAAAATGGTGAGAAAACTGAAATTTCACGAGAAGAAACTCTTGAAAAAGGTCGACTTTATTTCATGGAAAAGCGACAATAACATACGCGAAGTGAAGGTGCTTCGAAAGTACCACATCCAGAAGAGAGAAGATTACACCAAATACAACAAAGTTTGTGGGATGGCGAAATCACTCGCCACGAAAATTAAACAGCTCGATCCTAAAGATCCATTTCGAGGCGAAGCCACAGAACAGTTGTTGGAGAAATTGTACTCACTTGGCTTAATCAAAGCTAAAAACAACTTGTCTTTGTGCGATAAGCTAAGCGCCTCTGCGCTCTGTCGGCGGCGCTTGCCTGTTGTTATGGTGCGATTGAGAATGGCTCAAGCTATCAAAGATGCGGTGAAGTACATTGAACAAGGTCATGTGAGAGTTGGGCCCGAAGTCATAATGGATCCCGCTTTTCTTGTTACCAGGAACATGGAGGACTTTGTTACTTGGACAGATACCTCAAAAATAAGGAAGCATGTCTTGGAGTACAGTGACCTCAGAGATGACTTTGATTTTTCATAAATGGATAAATCAACATGGTAGGGCCCATGTGAAGGTCCGGTGAACTATACATAGTCTCTTTTGCAGCCGTTATTAGGGTCGTCACGCAACAGGACCCTAATAATGGCTGCGAAGGAGCCTAGACTACACAGAGACTTACAAAAAGCATAACCTG